ATTATTATTATTATTATTATTACTATTGTATACGCGTATACTCGCGCGCGACTTATCGCGCGCGTGTTGCGATGACTCGGCCAATCTTTTTCTCTACCCGGAGAAATCGTTTTTAATGTGATGATTAGTTAACCTCATTAAAGAATTATAATATTATTTTAACCGCCTTACGAATCAAAATATTCAAAAGTATAATTTTTTTTTTTTTTTTTTTTAATATATTTTTTTATAAGTGTAACTCGTTTTTTAGGTATCATAAGTTTTGTACACATGTACATATTATAATTAAATCGTATTTTAATTATAATATTATTACTTTACGTTTTATAGAAGATTTATTTTTACGTTTTTGAAACGGATAATACGTAGGTTTAAGTAGAAATATATCATAATATATTCTCGTGTACTGTTCCGTCCTGAGGCCTGTGATAGAAACGAATACATTGCTACAACGTTGCAAAAGGATAACATACAATATCAGTCACATTCGTGTGCATTATTATTATTATTATTATAAATAATACGCAGATACTATATCATAGTTTCTGCGTATGGACGCATAATTATATCTTGTTGTTATAAAAAATTTTATTTTTATGTTTTACGCGTGTTATAGGTGTTCCTAAAGATTACTTTGACACCGGACTTTAATTAAGTTATTTCATTATTATATTAACACACACACACACACAGATTAAATAAAAATAAAGTAAAATAACTAGGTAATTTATTATTCGTGTTACTTTATTTTTAAAGAGTTTAGGCTTAAAAAACTTAAATCGAATTAAACAAATTAGAAATTTAAGTATTTTAGATGGCCAAAATGTTTTTTATTATTATTTTATTTTTTTATATTAATATAATAATTTTAAAAGCCGCAGTAATTTTAATAGCTATTAAGTAATATTGTTATTTTCAATTCTTTATACTGGCTATGACGTTATTTTTTTCATTTTTATTTGATTACTTGCTAATATAAATACAATTTAAATTATATAATATCTTATTTCTTGTGCCATACGCAACTGCAACTATCATGACAAATATTATTATATACATGACAATTTGACAATTCGTAACTACTAAATTTTATATAAAAAAACTTATCAACAGAAAATATACATGTATTTATTTGTATTCATTTATATATTTTTTAATATAATGTATTTTTATCATTTTACTCAAATCGTATCTCAATTTATATAATATATATATATATATAAAATAATATATATATAAATCATTCCTCCAATAATTTTGACTGTGATTTATAAAATGAATTATCTTTAATATATGATACATTCTCATTTATTTTATTTTACATAATTTTAGAAAAATTGTTTTTTTTTTTTTTTTAATACATCACTTAAGGTTTATTTCGAAAAATATTAAAATGATGCATTTATGTACATGATTCATATAATATAGAGGCCAAATATGTATAATGTTTTCATATATTATGAATACCTATTCAATATTTGTATTATATTTTTTTATGTATCTTTTTTGTAAAATTAATGAAATTTATTTATTCCTAATGAATTGTACATTTATATTGATACATATAGACATATATGTAGTCATCTTATACATAAATATTTTATATTTTCATATTAGATTGTTTTTGAATCCCATATTTTTATATGTATATAACGATATACCTATAATATATAAAATGTAATTTATTATTATTAGTATTTAACAATCTCAAAGTTTTATTAAAAATAAACGTCAAATTATAAGCCATTTAGTGCTATCGATATTATAAAAAATCCATAATTGAAACAAATTATTATAATTGGCAAGTACGGAAAAAACATGTCACCGATTATTTCAGATTGACACATATTCATTCGTTTGAAGTTTCTGTCGTACTCAAGCGGCTAAAATTTGTCTCTATTAAAAAAGGCTATGCTGGAAAAATTTTAAAGGTTTCAATGACCGTTTTTGACCCTGTGGTATTTTATTTAACTTTTTTAAAATACTTTTATTCATATCAATGGTGTCAATAAATTAATTGTGGTGATATCAATTGATACAAACCCTTATATATATTATTGTTATTACATTTTTAATTATACTAAACACATATATAAACCAAAGTGATATAGTTCTTCAAAGTTCACCAAGAGTACCTAACTAATTACTATTCAAGAGTAAATTTTCATTTGAATAAGTCATAACCGAATTGTATAGTGATTATTAGTTGAAAGAGTCCAAACCAAGGCTGGCAAAAAATGTTGAGGACATCATCGATTCGAGGCTCCTTTACTTACATTTATTGGGCCAAGATATACATATTACTTGTACATACTTGTGCAATACAATTATTCATATTTAATAATACATGACCATCAAAAAAATAGTGTTTGGTTTCATTCAAATATTTTCTTTATTCATGACAAAATTAAATAGAGCATATTATTATAAAAAAAAAAAGAATAATAATTATTCTTTTTTTTTTTTTTTTTTATACTGAAATTATTTCAGTTACACTTTCTAACTTTTTCGTAGCAAATTAATTGATAACACCGACCAAGTTGGTGTTTTTGGCCAATTCTTATTCCACCGCTAAGGGTTCTGTTTAGTACTGAAAAAGAGCGTTCAACACTTGCTATTGTAAAAGGAAGTGTGATATATATTCGAGAGCCACAGTAAGGTTAAGAAATACATTTTCCACATTTCAAGTTTTGATGGGATTAAGTACAGAGTACGGCGTAATGAACTCCCAAGTTTTAGTTAATTATTACCACGTAATAATATTAATTAGATTAAAGTGATTTATTATCATAAACAGGGTTGTTAATAAGGTTTATAATCATCACCATGCCGTGATCAGGTGAATAACGTGGTCTTGCTATTGAGAAATTTTTCAAAAACGCTGAGTAGGTCACTGCGACGCGAAAGCATTTCGGACTTTGTGTGGTTTGGATCCTAAAAAAAGTGTCCCTGATCGAAAGACAATTTTAAATCGTGTGTAAAATTTAAGGGTTGCGGTATCTGCGATATTTAAAAATCTAACTGGACGTCTCAAGTCGGTAAGAACACCTGAAATCATTGTTGAAGTGAGAACATCAATAAAACAGTTTCCATCGCGTTCAGCTAGGAAACATGCTTCTGGTTTTGGAATATCGGATCGATCGGTAACGCGAATTTTGCACTGTGATCTTAAATCACACCCAAATAAGATTATTGTTATTCAATAGTTGAATTTAGCAGATTGGGTAAAACGTAAAAGTTGCTGTAACATGGTATTGAGTGGAGTAGTATCGAAGCACATTTCCACATTTTTGGAAAGGTAAAAAAAAAAAAAAATCGACCTGCGGGAAACCCTCAAATCATATACTAACGAAATATATCTTCACAGTTCTTAAATCAAAATTTAAAGAGTTTTGTCCTCGGTAGGCATTGTGGGATCTTATTTTTTTAAAAAGGTGGCGTTATTGTTACTTTGACTTCCGACCGGTACTCCGAGATTATAGGAAACTTTTTACGGCCGAAAACTGAAGCATACAAAAATAATGATAACTTCTGGTTTCAACGAAATGGACCCATAGGATATATTTGGACGACATCATTTTTAAAAAATAACAAAAAAGCACATAAAAAAATTTACACTTTCCATTGAAAAAATTTATTTTTTCTTATCTCGTACCATTTTATTTTAATTCGCCTCAGAAATGGGGAAGCTCATTATGCCGCACCTTATAGATCCCAAGGTGAGAATGCCTTTTTAATTATGTATAAAAGACTGAAATTATTGTCTTTCTTAGAGGTATGAGCCCCGGGGCCCTAGCCTTCACTGCCACACCCTTTCGTCAGCTCTGGTCCAAGTACCAATTATTTATTCTTGATCACCTACATTTATACAAATTATTAATAATCAAACGCCAGAAGAAAAATTAATACACCTTAGTGAGATAGGTACACAAGGGGGGTTTTAGAGATTCCTTTCCTTGCCTCGAATTTCAGGAAAATTATGAAATAGAGTTTTTATAGAGTAATAGTAGTTTACAAATTAAATAAATATGAAAATACATAAACTAAACACCCCCCTCCACAAATATTTGTTTGTGTACGTGCTGCACATCACATTTGACATTTCACGACACTATGCGAAGAAAATAGCTAATTGATTGATTTCCAGATCAATGTGCTATAATAACTCATGACGATTATATGTCATCGAGTAGTGGATTTCGGTCGAGTCCTTTCAGCCGCGCACCTTCAATTAATAGAGCCAAAGTTCTTCATAGATCCGAGTCGTCAAACGGATCACTGCCACCAAATCTAATTTTGTACCCTTTTAGAACGCGGCACGAGAACCCTGTTGGATCTCGCGATCTGCACCGGTTAGTGTGACTGTTTGACTATTTAGCGTCAGCCCTAACAGTCCCTACCACGTAGCACTCGAGGTAGGCACTAGTAAAACTCGGGGGGGACATTTTAGGAGCGACACGTTCCTCGGAGGTTCCCTCTCACGTGGTACTAACTTATAATTTGACATTGGTAGAACAACCCAAGGCATTTCGCATCTTCCACTATTTCGGTCTCCCAACCAGATAGTGGTGGACAAAGCGGTAATACATCAGTGATAGATCATAAATATAAAAAATAACTAGAAATATTGTAATAACATATTCCATTCCACATATTATAGGTACAAATGGATTTTATAACAATAAACCCTTCAAGAGATATTTGTTGATTGTATTGAATAAGTCCCAGATCCACCGAAAAATATCTGGAGTACATGTTTGTTTTTATAGTATTTTCGTAATACTTTTTACACACAAGTCGGTTGTAATTATTCAGAATATTTAATATTTTCCCCGAGAAACAAAATTTGAACGGGTTTTCTAAATGCGTTGGCCGAACCTAACTTTATCATATTCTAGATCTCGATTAGTTTATAAGGGCCCATTTTTTTTTCTAATATGCACTAATGGTTCCAAAAGCATTATACAATCCATTTAGTATTAACGCCGATCTAGGGTACAGAACGATGAATAATGATCGCGGTCAACAAATTCATGAGCCATGACCATAACAACGGTTAAAAATGCGATGTGTACGCTCTAATATGCGCGCCATTTGATCACTATCGATAGCATTAATACGAGAAATTTTTTACGTATACAGTTTTCACCACAACTAAAATTGTTTACGCTGATGAACTGCCGTGCTTATAAATTTATATACGGGTTACTGTATCATACGAATATATTCATAATATACAATTAACATTCCTGTGCCATTGACTCGGACCATGGTAAGAATACAAGTGGAAAGACATTACTGAAAATAGAATTGTTGTGTAAACTAAATACGTGTATGGTATATCATCCCCCCCCCACTATTAAAGTGATAATTGTGCCAATGAATCTGCGCATGTGTTTATTTACATTTGAGTGAATACAACGCTCAGAAGTAATTAAAATCACAAAACAAATATAAATTTAAGCGTAAATTATCTAATCAAATTTAGGTTTAGGAACTATTTGAATAATTTTTCGGCAAACTAATATCCACTTAAGTTAATTTTTCAATTTTGTTTTCATTGTTCCAAATTAAACAATTTTTATAATGCATAATTCATTATCGTTCGAATTTATGAAAATGTACATTAAATAATATTAATTAATGATAATATAAGTTCACATAATATACTCGTAACTATAATTCTTAGGATACTTAACATCCATAATTTATACGTGCATAGAGGATATTGATTTAAGACTATGAATAGTGTTTATTCATATTGTATTACATATTATTGTTGCTTTTGGCAGCGACTGAAATTAAATTTATAAATCCTACCGTTCTTTTAGCTTGATATTTTTTTTTTCTAAACTTTTTTTGTAACTCGACCGGTACCAAGTAATCTTGATTGCCTAGTTCCGCATTATCTGTTAGTAACAATTATTAGACAACAACGTATTTCCTATCATTTTTTACCAACACTCATCCGAAGAAACATGTCTTTAGTCTTTATAAATACTAAGGAATTAAATATAGAATAATAGTAACAACTCTTGTTTGAAATTTACCTTCAATTACTACTATCGTACCTAAAACACAATTTTCTCTTTTTTTTTACTATTAAAAACTTGACTAACAGATAATGGGTTTATCTGTATAAGTATTTAAAAACGTTTAAAAACGTTTATTTGATTTATATCAATGGATCGCGTCGTTTTACGTTAAAACCAAAAACACCAAAAGTATAAATGTACATAGAATATTTTACGTGTGATAAGAAGCGTGTAAATGGTGCACACAAATCGCTTTACTATAAATATTAAAAAAAAAAAACCTATGATTTCGTTATCGATACACGTTATTGTAGCTTAATATTTTAGCGAACTTTCTGCTTTTACTTCCACGTCTTACTTGTATTTATCGCAAACCTGATACAATACAATAAATGATTAGGGCATAACAATGTTTTTTATTTTATTGTATTTAAAAGCCATACTTAAAATGTTACCTAACTACTATTGTTATCGTCGTCGCAGTAAAATTTCTTAATCTAAAACTGTCAACGGCAACGTGTTTCGAGTGCCCAAATGTGGCATTACGTCGAGTGCACAATACACAGCTACTATACTCTCAAACAATATTCATGCGTGCGTGCGCGTGTGTGTACGCGTACATCATAAAACGAATGGAAATATATTAGAAAAAAAAAAAAAGGAAAGGAAAAGAGACCATGTGATAACATAGATATATTGTGTTGAGATGCAGACGTCCCACAGCAGGGAACGGACCGGAGAATTTTGATTGGCTTTAATTGGGCTAAATTGGTTTCAATTGAAAAAATGCGCCGGCAAACGCGGTACACATATACATACTGACGGTGACGCGATACCGTGCGGGCTTTTATTTTAATTTTATGTTATTTTTTTTTTTTTTTCAAAGAGAAGTCTCGAACGAACATTTTTATATTTCTTTATGCGTCGAAGAATTAACGGAAACGGAACCGTTAAACCGTGTAAACGTGTGTAATCGTGTTGAAATGTGTGCCCGCGTCGTGTTCGACTTCTCGAAGAAAATTGAAAAATTCCTACGCAACGGAAATGCGAATATTTCCACGCAATGGTTTCACATTATTCATCGTGTACGCGCGGGCACAGATACGTAAAACCATGTACGACGACGAGCTTATGCCGTCGTGATACAATTATGATGTACTCGGCGGCGTCGGTTTTATTTTAGTTTTTGTGAAAAAAATATTTACTTTGTTACAATGGAAATAATGTGATCACATATTAATTGTACGTCCGATTCGAGGCGTTTAAATATGATACTATTTTTAGTCAATACTTTTTTGCCGACGGTTCAAAAGAATTTCAACAAAACCAATATTTACCAATGTATTAACTGCAGTTCGGGATTCATTGCGCACAAATTGTAGGAAATATGCTAAAAAATATGCAAATTGGTTTTTTTACAGTTTTATTCGTTCAATTTTAAATGTAGATCATTTTTATAGTATTATCTATAAGCCAAAAATTAAATAAAAATAAAATATATGTAAAAATATAAATTGGTATTATAATACTATAATTTTACTCTGCATGATCAATTTAATTTTCTTCTTCTTCTACAAATTAAGTTTAGTATTGTAAAAATATAAAAGTAATTGCATGTTAGACCCATGTTTACACGAGCGTTCTCACATCTGCAATTATAGTTTAAACAAATTCAATATTAATATTATATTAATGACTTTAAAAATATAACTATGAGCACCCAATGTACATTTAAATATATATATATATTTCAATTTGGTAAAATATTATATCACTTTTGATTATTTGAATGTATGGAATTCTTTTTCCTATAAATATCATGCACCTGAATATTTCAACTATACCTCACGTACAATTATCAGGTTCGTTTGAATTCAAAGTTGAAAATATAAAAAACAAAATAAAAAATAAATGTTTTGTAATTAATACTCTGTAAATAATAATATAATATTATTGAATAATCAATTTTTTTATTGAAAAAGATTAAATATTTCTAATATTATCAAAATGAATAAAATATGAAAAACACAATTTTTCGTCATTATTATATAATATATGCAATTATTCATAACCAGAGTTTCAATTTGAAAATTATCAACAGGTATAAAAACCGCTTTTGAAATATAAATAAACACTGATTGTAAAAAAAATATCCCATTATAATAGTTCATTCAATGTAATCGATGCATGTATATTATTTCCGCAGGTTTGAACACGAATATCACACTTGATCTACTAAATTAATGTTGGATATGTGAACAAAAAAA